TATGAGCTACCAGTGACTTGCTGACATTAATCTTTTTTTTGAGGGGGGGTCTGATTGGGGGCCTGAACTCTGGGCCTGGGCGCTGTCCCTCAGCAATTCAGCTCAAGGCTAGCGCTCTACCACTTGAGCCACAGCGCCACTTCCGGCTTTTTTTCTTTTTGCTTATGTGGTGCTGGGGAATCGAACCCAGGGCCTCATGCATGCAAGGCAAGCGCTCTACCACTGAGCTACCTTCCCAGCCCCAAGTTAGGTTTTTTGTTGCTGTTTTATTCATCTAATTTTTACTGACCATCTGTTTACTAGTGAAGATCATTTTTTAATTATGCCAATAAGGATCCTTGCCTTTTGCTCCAGAGGAAAGCTTTCTTCATCTCCCAAATCCTCTTTATAACCCTACTACTTCAGAGAGAGCCATTAAATCTTCTGAACCTATTTGCTGCTCAAACAGCTTTCAAAGGACAGCCTAATGCAAAGGATAGTCAATATGTCTTATTTGCATGATGTAGAGACACATGTGAAACTCACATATAATTGTCTTCCAATAATGTATGAATGAAATTTCTGGTAGTTCATTGTCTTCAAATATATTGAACAATGCACAATTTCAATGCAACTTAAACTGCACCAACACTGCACAAAATATCTCACATTTGTTTTACTGGTCAATATCTTCAACTTTCTTTTTTTTGGGGGGGGGTCCAGTCGTGGGGCCTGAACTCTGGGCCTGGGCGCTGTCCCTCAGCTCTTCAGCTCAAGGCTAGCACTCTACCACTTGAGCCACAGCGCCACTTCCGGCTCCGACTTTTTTCTTTTTGCTTATGTGGTGCTGAGGAATCGAACCCAGGGCCTCAGGCATGCAAGGCAAGCGCTCTACCACTGAGCCAACTTCCCAGCCCAATATCTTCAACTTTCAAATATGTTGCTGATCTAATGTGTATGAAATCATATGTAATATTGGTTTCTATTTTCCTGATTCCTGATGAGATTCATATAATCTAATGCATTCCAAGTACTCTTATTAAGTACTTGAGATAAAATTGTAAACATAAATGAAAAAAAATCATTCAATTTCAAGACCTTATATTCTGGCAGGAAATATAAAAATCAGTAAGTGAATACTTTAGTATATAAGGTGACATATACTATAGATTAAAGCAATGAGATGCATATTAAAGCAATGTATGATTGTTAACTATGTAATCTACTATTTTTCTGAATTGCCAGCTTTCTATAGACAGATTGTACTTTTCTTATTGACATCAATTAATGATTTCATTCATTGCACATATTCTACCTTTTAGCAATATCTTATTTCTCTCTTTTTTGTTTATGATGACTTTTATAATTAGGAAAGTCTTCATTTCATTCTAACCTTATTCATCAAAACTTTCCTTAATGTAGGGCTGGGAAGGTGGCTCAGTGGTAGAGTGCTTGCCTTGAAAACTTTCCTTAATGAACTGTGCTTTTGTAGGTTTTGTTTCCCACTTACTGGGTTCAGAATTACATATTCATTTACACTGTCTTCTAAATGTTTTATACATGTTACTTATTAGGATATTAATATGATGCATTTGACATTTACTGTGTGTGTGAAGTATGAAGGGATATTTTTTGATGTGAGTAGCCAATTAATTCATCATCATTTACTTATTTAATAGAATATTGTTCACTTATCAGTTGAAATTCCACTGCTATTAATTACTCAAGTTTCCTGTGTGCAAATGGGCCTTCTGGACACTAGGTTATATTGGTATGTTTGATTTTTCCTGCTTTAATCTAGAAACTTTATAGACCACCCTCTGTAGTTGAAAGAGTAAACTTAAGACAAAACAAGTTATTCTTCTGCTTATAAACAGCTAAAAGATTCTTTCTCTCCTGCTCTTTCTCAATACTAAATCTATATTCTGCTCCCAGACTGCAACCTGCAGGGCTCTAAACTCTTTGATTCCTCTGACCCCATGACCTCTTTGAACTCATCTCCTGCTCTCCCCTACCTTGCTCACTCAGCTTCAGCCATGCTGCCATGTTGCCTTCTCCCCTGAAATACATCAGGCCTTCAGACCTCATTTTTTTGAGGTCATTCTTTTTGTCTGTTGTAGGGCTTCAACTAAGGGCCTGGGCATTGTCCCTAGCTTTTACACTCAAGGCTAGTGTGCTACCATTTTAAGCAACAGCAACATTTCTGGTTTTCTGATGGCTAATTGAAGATAAGAGTCTTAACAGACTTTCCCACTTGGGCTGGTTTTGAACCACAATCCTCATATCTCAGCCTCCTGAGTAGTTATGATTATAGGCGTGAGCCACCAGCACCTGACTGGGACTTCATTTTTTGGCACTCTATCTGGAATAATCCTTCACCCAGACAGCCACAGGACCACTTCACTATTACCTTCACGATTTGACTTAAAAGCCAAGTGCTCGGTGAGGCCTCCCCTGGCCACCCTAAAATAGACCCTCCATGGAATTTCAGGTCCCATACTTTGCTTCTATTTTTTCTTTTTAGCCCCTACCACTATGAATATATATTTACTTAGCTTGGGCACTGTTTCCTTCCCTAACATGAACTCTGTTTGTTGGTAAGGTCATTCTTTATTTGTTCCCTGCTATATCAGTACCTTCGTCTAAATAATACCTGGCAGCCCCCTCCCATCCAAAGTACCTGTGAGATAAAGAGACAACAAATGAACTAAGAACACAGTCAGGACAAAGAAAAGTTAAAATGTGAAGGATGTGCTGGGTGTATCCATGAAGTTACAGACACATGCCTCCAAGGGACAAGTGTGAATTTTATTACAGTGAAGCAGGCCAGCTGGGGGAGGGGCAACTAGAGAGAAGATTCTGAGCCTAAAATGGGCTGAATCCTACCTCAGACCCAGCTGCCTTTATCCTTAATGGAATGTGGATCTCAATGATCTGTATTTTTATGACTCTATTTGATTTTCCACAAAAGCCAGCGATAGATTTACACTATTTGAACTCTCCCAAATGCCTAACGTACGAAATTTAAGCTGGAAAATAATAAAATCCAAATATCTAGCAAAACATGACAGCGAGCTGAGATTGGTCCTTAGATAAAAAGCTTTTGTTGGCTGGTGGTGTATGAAAGAAAATGAATTCCTGTGTGATGAGGTGGGCTGGCTTTGTGTAATTCTTGAGTCAGCCTCGGGGTCGGTGTTGAGTAGAGAGAATGAACTACATTTATCAACTTCCTTCAACCCTCCCGAAGCCTCTTATTTCCACACACTAGCATGAAGGTTAGTAAGCCTGACTATCAGAAACTGACCAAGACTCTTTGGGGGCAAAAGTATAGTTTAGTGAAGAGTGGGGATGCAGAAATCAAAGAATGAATTCTGAGAAGGACTTTAGGATGAATGGCTGAAGACAAAGCAAGAAGAAGAGGACACAGACCATGCACTGGACACCATGGTTCTCAGGGATTTTATTGAGGTTTCACACTCCTCTCAACCAATCACATAATCCCTCCATGTGACAATATACAACCAAGAGAATTAGTTACACAAAGTCACAACTCCCAGCTTATTTTCCATGACATCTACATTACCTGGAAAAAAAGAGCTGTGAAAACTTCCAAGACACTTTCCTATGAGTTTAGGGGATCACACTGGCCAGGGGCCAGTGAAGTAAGGTGTCAACAGCCACAGGCTTTATGGAAGGTATAGGCAGAATGAGGCTGTAAGGACAGAGGGCTGCCCTTGATGGAGCACCAGTTAGAACCACTGTGGTGTCAAGCAATAGCTAAAGCAGAGATAGCCAAGGTTTTCCCTTGCCTTGAGAAGATACAAGGCTCAATCCTCCAATGCTCCCCCCATCCAAGCAAGCGAGGTAGGGGGAGGAGCAGTGATGGGGCTCTTGTACTGAGTTCTGCAAGGTTCCCTTTATTGAGATTAAAACATTTCCAAAGTCAACATGGCCCATCTCTCAAATTGTGAGAGTCACAGTGGCTCATTTGCAAAAAATTCTGTAAGGGAGATGAATCATGACCTCTCCAGGTCCTAGATTTATTGCAAGTGCCTTCCTTGTGAAAAATAAAGGAGACACCCCCAGAGATCAGTGCTTATGAAGCACTGTTTTAGGTGTAGTACAAACTTCCTGTGACAAGAATACCCTTATAGCTATAAAATGATTGGTAGAGGCCCCTAGTAAACTTCCAATGGCACCCCTGTCTAAATGCCCTTCTGGGGGAGTACAATGCACCTGCCTTCTTTAATACCCACAACTTCACTAGGGTTGATGTGTTAATGTTATGAATCCCTGGGCCTTCCCAGAACTCTTGGGATCTGTTCTTCATACTTTTTATTCTATATTCTCACTCCCTCAGTCATTCTTTCTTTCTGGAATCTGTCCTTTCATATCTACCCTTGCTGGCCACGCTAACCTTCTGTGTCTTAGCCTTCCACAGATCCCCACCAACTTGATCTTTTCCTAGCTCTTCTAGACCTCTTCTAACCTTTCTTTGTTTCCCTCTCTACTCAATTTATTCTGTCTGTTTTCCTCTAAACCCCAAATTCTCACACTCAGTCATCATTTACTCCCTTTTCTATTGGATGTTTCCCCCTGATTCTCCCTAGGGAGCTTCCCATTTTTCTGGTACCTCTCTACCTCTTCTTAAGCACTCACCTCCTCCCCTGCCTTTCCCACAGCCCACCTCTAGCTCATTCCCCTCCCCACAGACTGTATCAGCTAAGTTTCATTTCCTCTTTAGGTAACTGGTCATACTAGCTGCACTTTATTCACAGGTTGAATGGACAGCTATTCCTTTCTTTTATGACCCATAAAGCAAACAACCCAATCTTTTCCACAAGACAAAGTACTTACATATAGTGTGTGATATCCACATAAAATTGTGTTTTTCAGAAAACAGTTATGCTGGCAAAGATGTTGGGTTATTAGGGATCCTTAAGCTTCAAATACATTGAAAAATTAGTATTTTGCGCATCTACAAATTATACATTTGCCTCCTCACATTTTGCAAGTTTTACCTAACAGGTTTTTTTCACCAAATCATAGACATAGATATGGAAATCATCATCAAACTTGATGAAATACACAGAGGGTTTGGCTTTAACTTGGTGAATGACCTTGCCTGTCCTTTTGGAGCCATCTTCTTTGGTATATTCCACATGTTTACCTATCAGGCCATCTATAACTCCTTCTGGCTCCCTCTCTGTTGGAGGAGCCTCATTGGACTCTGGCATAATGCGGAGGTCGCCTTCTTTGTAATCATCTAGAAGCTGGTACATGTACAGGACAGGATCTTTCTCATAGGTAATGTAAAACCAGGCTTTCATGATAGGTGCTTGGGCTAGCACCATCCCCCGCCATTCATCCTTAGAACCATGCTCACCCTCAAACATATGTTCCACTGCTTTGCCAATTATGGTATTTGCAAGGCGCACATCTCTGACTCGAGAAAATGGCACCTTATCAGGAAGGATTTTAAGTTTTAAAATCCTTTCATCCTGGTGAAGTTCCAGTCCATAGACACAGTCAATTCCATCATATTTCACCAGATAAAGAGAGGGATTTATAGGCACCTGATCCAGAACAGTTCCTTTCCACTGCGTGATAGGTTCGTCGCCTTCCTTCCATCCATGAGAAATTCTGCAGCCCACAATGTTCTTCCGTGGCTGGGACGCAGGTCTCCCCCTCTGCTTCTTTTGAGTGTGTTTTTTCTTTCTTATGTTTGTAGATCCAGTGTGGTGACCTACAGCTTCCCTAGTCTGCTGCTTTGCAGCTGTCTTCTTGTGGGGAGTCTTCATACCTGAAAAGGGAGGAGAAAGGCTAGGTAATAGAAGGTGAAGATTTTTCTGTGTATTGTTAAGTTCCTGTATACCATGCATATCACTACACAAGTTATTCACATGTGGCCAGTAGCAGTACTGTGTATCAAGACACTCTTGGATCCTTGCCTGCAATGTCCTCTTTCCAAGCTTCTTTGGCTGCACAAGAGAGCTAGAGAAGATAAGACTGTGGAAGTCATGGTAGTGGAGAAACCAGCAAGAGGGAGCGGGTTCCCGAACACATTTCCTAACTCCTCATTGCCATCCCAGTCCCTCCCATCCTCCAGGCTAAGCATTTACCATTTTTAGCCCCAATCTCATGTTTCCATTCCCATGCATGTATTTCCCTTGAATCCTACCCACTGCTGTCTGCTATTCATCCCATCATCTTGTCCATACCCATGCCTGCTCCCCGGTGCTTCGTTTTCCTTCATATCTCTTCCTGGCCATCCCCATTTCCCCCCGTTGTGCTCCCACCACAAATCGAGTTTCCTTTCCAGCCACCTTTGTATACAAACCAACCTGGGGTTCTTTGCTCCCTGCCCCGCCCCCAAATCACTCTTCCGAGTTTCCCTCACCTTAAATGTTTAGCACCCACTCCGATTTTCCTGCTGGACACCCAACAACATCCACTCCTCTGGTTTTGCAGTCTGGAGCTCACCAATGCACGGGTCAGGGATCGCGATGTTCACGTGCCCAAATCGGACACCTCTCTGTTGCCTCCACGGCGACCCTGTAGCGAAGGAGGCAACAGCAGACCACCAGCCGAACGAGTGTTTGCAAGAGGTAGAACGAGAGGATTTCGAGACAAGGAGCTTGTCTGCGAGGGCGGTGGAGCAAGGCAACAAGACGTCGGACAAGTCCCCAGCGCTGTGCTCGCAGGCTCTCTGCTGGGGAATCAGAGGCGACTGCACCTCGGCTACTTAAGGCTTTCACTAGCAATTGCCGCCGCTGCAGTCTTACAGTCTCCTCCCACTTTTCATAGCATAGCTTCCTGCCAGGAGAGAGGCCGCCCCTTCCTGCCAAACAAGGCTTAGCAGCCCCCTCCCTCCATTCAAGCCACGCACTCTTGGAAAGAAGGCATTCCTATGCTGAAAGCCCCGCCCCTTCCCCCACGTCGGGAGCGCACCGGCTGTGTGTGTGTGGGGGGAACCACTCTCCCTCCCCACCTACGGGTCCACTCCTTTAATTCAGGGCCCCCGGGGCCCCCGGGACCCCCGGGGCTCTATCCCCATCTCTCACTCTGCCCCCTCCAAGCACTTATCCCCATCTGCTTTTTATCTTCCAGGAATTCGCCATTTCCTTTCCCCCATCCATGTACAGAGTTTATTCTTTGTATGCAAAAACCTGCCTTTCTTGTCCTTTAAGGGAATTTGGGATAGGATGACAGAAATGCGCTGGTGCTCCAAGCAATCTGCCATTTGACCCAATCTCTATGCAAGTTTCCCCGACTGTTAATTCTCAGACTTCACTTCTTAAGGATACTTTTTGTCCTTTTTCCTTTTTGTTTCTTTTCCCTCACATTGCAAAAGAATTGCATCCACAATATTAGAACACTGGCTGGAAGGAAAACTTCACCTGCTCTCCTTTCCCCTCTCCTCTTTGTTACAGCATAATACAAAGCTTCATTATTTCCTTTGCAATTTTCTATGCTCATAGAAAGCTTGGATCATTTATGCAAATTTGGATGCTAATATCCTTTGTAAAATAATTTCGCTTGATTTGCTTAAAAAACAGAGTTCATATAGCAATATTAATTATGCAAAATAGCAGTATTTGTTTTATTCAACCTTTTCAAGTTAGAAATAAAAATTTACCAGTGAAATATAATTCTCTTTGTCCTCTAACACAAATCCCGTTTGTCCCAGAATTTTGTATACAAAGCTTCTTAAGGTAAATTTAAAAATAATGATATTTTGTGCATTTCATGCTTTGTGATATTTTGAATACATTTTGGGAAGGGTAGGTTTTTTTTGTACTATAAGAAAAAAAATAATTCTCTTCAGTGGGCTACACCTGACATTTTGGGGAGATAGCTCCTGGTTTTATGACCCACTTATATACTGTAGGAGGTAATAAGAATGTGACAGCTGTATGCTTTGTAAAACTAAACAATACTAGACAATCTTATTTAATGGATCTTTCTTTAACTAGATAATTCTTAAGACTATTCAAGAAAATGTTGTAGTATTGTTTGGTAGTCACATTGCCAACAAGTCTAAAATGGAGTTATAAAATGTCTTATAATCTACTTACCTAAACGCAAATACAAATTTTATCTATTTTTTTCTTTCTTTTTTAAATTTCTTTTATTGTGAAAATACCGTATAGAGGGGTTACAATTACATGGGCAAGGTAATGAGTACGTTTCTTATCAAGCATTGTTGCCTCCTCCTTTGTTTCCCCTTCACATCCCTTCCCATTCC